CCTCAATCCTGGTCTGGTCCCGGTCTCAGTCCTTGTCTGGTCCCAGTCTCAGTCCCGCTCTCAGTCCCTGTCTGGTCCTGGTTTCGGTCTCGGTCCCGGTCTTGGTCTCAGTCACTTCTCGTCTGGTCCTGGTCTGCTCTTGGCCTCAGTCCTTGTCTGGTCTCTTATCCTACTCCTACTTATTTAGAATGTTATTATAAAAATGTTCTCTCTGTTATTAGATTTTATTGCGTTGACTGAGCTGCTGTGTCCAAATCATTTCCATTTTTTATTATTAAAATTTGTCTAAGTCTAAGTCTACAATGCGGAACATCCCAAGAAAAGCCGTAACAACTTAACGAAGAAAGCAGATAGTAGAAACGTTCTCCGAGACTCCAAAAAACAAATAATAAAAGTCATTTGGAGTCCTCGTGCAGACCTGACGCGTCCTTGTCCTTCTGGTTTCTTGTAGGACCTGTTTGCTCTGGACATGGAGCCGTACCGCTTCAGTGGAGTGAACATGACGGGCTTCAGGATCCTGAACACGGACAACCCCCAGGTGTCGTCCATCATCGAGAAGTGGTCCATGGAGCGACTGCAGGCCCCGCCCAAACCGGACTCGGGTCTGCTCGACGGCTTCATGACGGTAACTCTCCACCTCTGTACACGCAAATACTGCAGTACTCTGGTCTCCTGCGTGGTAACGAAGGAGAGGAGAGGAGTTGTGTCTTTAGTGAATGGATGAAGAGGTGATGGAAGCACGTAGGGTTGTGAAAATTATCGAAAATTACAAGACGTTGACAGGACAGACATGACTCTTTCCTGAAAATCTTCAACATTTCTCAGGCCAGGGACCCCCTACTATAAAAATGTCAGACAGTTGTGTTTTATATTAAATTGGGTCTAGTGTCGTGTGTAAACAGCTACTCTTTTATTGTACTTTCAACACTACGGGAGTATTTCATCAAAGTCCAGGCTTATGGGTCTGGTCAAGTGGTAACGGAGGGAAACAGGGTCAGATTTTTGACATTCAAATGTCTCTTATTCAGAAACTAGAGGGACTATTGAAATAAGTAAAGTATCAGAATGTAGGAAAGAGTTACACTCCAACAGGGTCAAGTTAAACCTGTGATATTCTTTCAAGTTTTTGACAAAAAATTTAAAAAACTCATGTCGGTAACAGGAGGGAATGAAATATGCAGCACTTTTTGGGCAATAAATCCAAACAGTGATAACTCTTGGTTCTCACTTACATATCCTTAACAAACTGGTTTGAATATTTGCTTCATATAGTTTTCTACCATATGGTACAAGATTAGGTTGAAAAACCTCTTACTTTTTGACTCATGAGATTTTTATTAATAAAGGTCATGGTAACGGAGGGAAAAGTAATGGAGGGGAAAATTGTGCAAACAAGTAGAAGGTGCAGGATTTTACATCATTTGTCGCTTTTTTTCTTCCGAATACTTTAATATTACTTCAAAATGAAAGGAAACAATTTCTATAAAATATGTCAGTCCTTCCAAATTTTTATCCTTTTAAATACATTTTTTGGGAAAAATCATGTACCTTCATCAACAGTTCAAAGATGGAATAACACAAGATATGATGAAATACATCAGTTTATTTACATGATTTGCAGGTCTTTGAAATTTGGGAAATAATTTTTGTTTCGTTTAAAACGTATGTAACTTTAGAACCAAAAATGGAACAGAAAAAAGGTCAACAGTTTCATAAACTAGAGAACATATGTAACTGTTCAATACATTTTTATATCAGATGCATTAACTTGAATTTTTGGCCTTGTTGTTTACTTCTGCTTGACTGGGCCCAGGGAGAGGTTTTTTTTTGTTTTTTTCATCATGGTTGAATCGGTCTTGAGTATATTTCTTTGCAGAGGTGGGGACTTGCGAGTCGTGATTTGGACCCGAGTCAGCCTTGATTCACTATTTTAGGGCTTGAGACTTGACTTGATAAAATAGACAAAGACTTGGGACTCGACTTGGACTTGAAGGGCTTGGACTTCGGCCCTGCGACTTGGGATGACTTGACGCTTCTCGTTTGATGTCCGTTAAATCTGGCTGGTGATGGATTTGGTGTCGAGGCCCGGAGAGGAGAGAGCTGCAATAGTCTAGACAGGAGAAGGTGGAAGACTTTTTCCAGATCAGGGCGAGAGAGGATAGTTTTGATAGTTTTTATTTTGCGGCGGTGGAGAAAATAGAACTGGGAGACTTTTTTTGATGTGATGGTGGAAGGAAGTTGAGGTGAGAGTCAAAAAAAATGAGGTTTCTGGCAGTAGGGCTGATGTCAGGTAGCTTGATTCATCAGCCGGTTTCACTTCGTGGAAACCGTCTGACCTCGCAGCATTAGGATTCGTTCACTCGATAGTAGGCGGGTACTTTTTTTTTTTATTTAACCAATCGCTGCTGTTTGGTCGTGACATAAGTAACGGTGTCATGTGCTGGATCATTTTGAGATGCAACCAGATGCCCTTTTTTAAAAATCTGACTCTTTTTTTACCTCCACATACACGTTTAATCCACGTGCTTATTTTGTAGTTTTCAGCCTCTGTCCTCCTCCGACAATGTGAGAGGAAAGACAATCCTGCGTGTGAGAAGTAAAAAAGTCGTGACTTTGTGTCTGTGTTATTTCCTTAAATTTTAGATCTTTTTTCTCACGGGTTTTGTTTAATATGTAAAAGGTTGGCGTATTTTTTTGCTCTTAAGTGTGTTTTGTTTTTGTTTTTCCTCAGATGTGTCCTCGTGGCTCCAGGCTCGTGTGTGTTTAGTGTTAGAGCTTCATTAGAGCTTTGTTTTAAAATGGCTGCTTTTAAACACCGCGCTGAAAGCCCCGGGACACGCTCTAATGACAGAGAGATTTTTATATTGTTATATTGTTATTGTGTTGTTGTTGTTGTTGTTGTTGTTTTTAAGCTGTTTACAATTACTGGGCGGAGTAAAAAACATTTCTAGGAAAAAAAAAGGGGGGGAAATAATAGAAAAATAAATAAATAATAATAATAATAATAATAATAATAATAATAATAATAATAATAATAATAATAATATAATCTATATAAATATAATTAATTAATTTAATATAAATAGATACATAAATATAAAACACATATATAAATATAAATAAATATAAATACATAAATAAAATAAATTTAAAAATATATAAAAAAAAAAAATAATAATTTAAAAAATAGTAAAAACAATTTAATAAATAAAATAAAATTTAAAATTAAATTAAATTATGCTAGACTGTAATTACTGGTGCTTACGTGTCCAGCTGTCAGGTTGCTAGTTGCTAGTAGTTATTGTGCTCAATAAGTTAAATTTGATTAATTAAATGACTTTTACCATTGTACATGTATAATTTTGATGCCTGATTTTGATCCCTAACAAATGGATAAAGGTTTATGTTTTTATAGGCATCTTAGGCTACGTTCAGACTGCAGGGCTTAACGCTCAATTCCGATTTTTGTGTGAAATCCGATGTTTTTTCGAGGTCGTTCACATTTCCAATTAAATGTGACTTGTATGTGACTCCAGTGTGAACATTAAACAGTCCAAAAGTGTCCCGCATGTGACACTGGAGACACGACGACGTCAACCGCAGCGAGCGTCTCTGTGTTTACGGAAGTTGTCCAAACATGGACGCAGCATCGAGCACCTGGAGATTTTAAAGTTCCTCTCGTACCGGAGCCAGAACATGAACAACTTACTTGTTTTAAGGAGGAGATTGAGGAGGAGAAGGACGAGGTTTTTGGTCGTGGTGTTTTGTGGGACAGTGTCTGTTGAAAGGAACGTGTGGATGTGGAGACGGAGCCAAGAGTGGTGAGTGGTAGGGACGGGCATTCGATGAAATTTTCTTCATTGATCGTTGGCAGAATTAACGATCGATTATTGATTAATCATTAACGTTTTTATATTAAAATGAAAATCATCATTATTATTACTATCTGCACTCCTAATCTGCATAAATAAATTCAACTTTACGAAATATAAACCGTAACGACTCTAGAGCCACATCAGCCCGTTTGACATTATAATGTGTTTAATTCAGTTTTGTTCAAATCTCACAGAAACAAAACTTAAAACCACATCGCTAATTTGCATAAACTAAGCGAAGATAAAACTCCAGCTCTTGTGTCGCTGATGTGGTTCAACTTCTGTTGGATTAAAAGACATGACTCAGGTGAATACAGGTCAGTGTGACCAGATTTGCGTTTGTCAAAACCAGGACAGCGTACGGGGGGAGGGGGGCGGGGCCTCGTCATCCACATTGAGCGACTCTCACCTGGATAAAACTTTTTCCCACTGGACACAGAAACATATGTGCTGCTTTATACACTGTGCACATGGACTCACACTTGTCCCAACGCAACGGAAAGTGTGGAATTTCTTGTACAAATCATCGTTAAATCCACATTTGTGCTTCGGTTCGTTACAGACTGACCCACTGTTTGTGTCTCGCTCCTTCTGATGCAGAGACACATGTACACACCTGTTTGGTCACGATACACACAACAACCTACATTCGGTTTGTCGATTAAAATTAACGTAATCGATGAAATTCTTAATGATCAATTATCGATTAATCGACTAATCATGCCCATCCCTAGTGAGTGGTGATGTGCTTCTCTTCAGTGACACAGAGTTCATTAACAATTTTCGCCAACTTCAGCGCAGAATAGTGACGTTTGTGTCTTGTTGATAACGTGTAGGTGGATGAATGCACTTTGGCCGTTCACACTGAAGTCACATGTCAAAAGATCAGATATGTATCGGTTTCAGGAGCACATATCCAAGTGTCCTGGGTCACATTTGAAAAAATCGGATCTGTGTCGTTCAAACTGTCATTAAAAGATCAGATACAGGAACATAGAGGCCAAAAAATCGGATTTGGGTCACTTCAGGCTGCAGTCTGAACGTAGCTTAACTGTACCTCATCTAAGACTCGCCGTCGCCGTGGCTCTTATTTATGCTCAGTTTTTTGTGACCGCTAAAACTAGTAGCTCTCTGGCATGTTCATTTTGTAAAAGTAGCTCCCCAGAGGAAAAAGGCTGGAGACCCCTGTTCTATAGTTCTATTTATTTTCATTTACGGGAGCTTGGACGTTTTTTTCGCATTTCATTTTTTTTCTCTTTCAATCTGATTTTACTTAGCAACGAGGGCGGGTTTCAGTGTAATGAAGTAAAACACTTGGGTGAAAATGTACTCGACGTAAAAGTAAACTTACCTATTTCAAAAACTACGTGAGTAAATGTAATTCAGGCATGTTTTTGATGAGGGAACGACATTATAACACGGAAGAAAGCTAAAAAAAAAAAAACACAAACAATTTCACACAATTCCCTTCTTTAATGCCACACTGTGTGACATTCCAGGCAAACCAAAAGCGTCTCGGGCCCTGTAAATCCCTCTCGCTCTAAACGAATCCGTGTCGAGCCATTGTCAGCGCGACCTTTGACCCTCCCCCCCTCCTCCTCTTCCTCCTCCCGTCGCCTCGTACCCTGTCGTTGTCGTCTTCTTCTTCTTCTCCTCCTTCTCCTTCTCCCCCTCCGGCATCGGCGTGACGTGACGGGCTTGATGATTCGCGGTCGACCCGGCAACAGTTGTCAGGGGCGACGTGTCCGTG